AACAAAACTTGAATTCGTATCCAGGTTTCATGTGATTTGGAATGCATAACGCATACATATATGGACTAAACACCAAAATCTTTCAGTAATTTTTTCCTGACACATATAAAAAGAGTAGTCAATATTTATTCTGCATTCATGAATTTCAAAACTAATGCATACCTCCGGGATTCTTGACGAAATACCAGTTTATTTGCACTGTAAACGACGTTTCGTCAAACGCTAATGGTCTGCGACGCAAAATTGGAAGGGTTGGGGGTGATAGGCGTATTCAAAAATTGCCTAAAAATCTACATTTAAACACGCTTTACATATGAGAACTTTTAAATTTGTAAGTTGATATATTTTTCAAGCAAAAGCAATATTCCAATTTAATTTTTTTTAATGTGTATTTATAGATTCATATAACAAAGTGATCGACCCCCGTCTGAAAGACTCGCGGGAACGTGATTTATTGAGAAAGGGGGAGGGGGTAATTTTCCGCTATTAAATCAAAACTGGTCGTACAAAAATTATACAAAAAATTATGAAGATTATTTTTACTACCAGCTACCTAAAGAAAGTTTTTTACCAAAATTAAACGACAGGTTTTTTCACAAAAAAATTTTGAATTTGAAAAATACGCATTTTTCAAGGCTTAGTAAATTCATAGTTTTTCAGTTTAAGGTCTTTAAAAATTGTTTTGATGATATATATATCAAAAAAATGACTATATTTTTGTGTTAAATGGTTAAAGGAATAAGCAAATGAAATTTGACATTTATATCAACCCTGGTTTTTTTGAAAATTAAGGTTTAAGAAGTTCATTGATTAAAAAATTTCTCTCCTTGTAAACAACTAAAGGGGGGTAACTTTCGGAAGTTCCTGTCCAAAAACCACTCGAACGATTTTGTCCAAAATATGTATACATGCAGTAGATGGTCATGTACTAAATATACAAAAATAACGAAAATTAAACGACAGGAATTTTTTTGGGTAGGTGTGTTGTACATCCTTAACTGTACTGCGAATTCCCAATTCTATTTTGCTTTGGGCATGAACCCATCGATATACACATATGCATACACACATCAGGAATAATAAAAAAAAATAATACACTCCAAAATAAGAAAAAACATTGCCCTTTTAATACTTGTGATTTAACATTTTGTTAATACGTATTTAGAGTTTAGATATTTACTACAAATTTAGTGTTTTCATCCGCTTCTAGCAATGCTTGAGTGTGTACTATAGAATCGTCCTTACGTCGGGGTTTTGAATCCCGTTGTGGAACTTGGAGACCGTACTTCTCTTATGATGAGACCGTATATTCGGAGGCCCCGTCTCGTAGTGAAACAAAAAAGATCCCTCCCTGCTCAATGGCCCTAAGTGCCAAGTATGGGACAAAATTTGCAGTTCTCCACCTGCAAGTGACGGCGTCTTCACATCTAGAGGATCATCAAACACAAAGAAACAAGCAAAGGCATTCAGTGTGTATGTAACGTCAGACGTCGGAGTGGGGGGCATGATTTCCTACCGTCTTAAGGCCTACACGTGTGTTATTAAGTGTAAGACATTATCATCTGCACATATCTGTACTTATGTTTTATTTTTACGAAACTGAACAAGATAAATAAAAATATTGTCAATTACATTTCATATAAACGACATTGATTTAAAATTAATATAATAAACTTACTCAAACAGTTCATTTTTCCTCGTTGTATTAAAATCCTCTCCAGCAGATCGAAGGTCTGTTGAAAGTAATTATTACATTTAATTTAATTAAATTGTTTATACATTAATGGGCATGTCGTCGGTAAACAAACTTATCTGAAAGAGAAGTTTCCAAGTTTTCATAAAGCTTCCTTCAAAAATTATGGTATCTTTAAGTTTGAGAAATTTGTCCTCTTTAGCAACATTTATTTATATATATATAAAAAATCGTTCAAGGCAGTAAACGAAAAGATGAAAAAAAAATGTGTACAGATGAAATAGATAGGCAAGTAGACTAAAAATTCGATTTTGCTAAACTTTATATATTTTATAAAATTCTTTCAAATTAAAAAAAAAACAAATTAAAGTATTTTCTTTTTTTGCAATTAAAAAACACAAGACTAAAAACGTACTAAACGGAAAGGCTATATTTAAATTTCTTCAACCACCTTTTTTAACTGTCTACATCTAATTGTACTAAGAATAAATTATTGTTCGTTTCATTTGCAGAAATATTAATTTTTTTTTAAACGAAATATATTTTTTTTAAATTTAAATACAATTCAGCGGAACCTGATAAAAAGCAAGCTTGAACAATGCAATGAAGATAATATTCTTTTTTGTTGTCGTCTTTGCATGTACCGATTAATACTAAAGATCAACTTACCAAGTACATCAAATATTCTGCCCTGAGCTGGATTGAAGAATTGTACGTAAACATATTCCAAGATTGACATGTCTGGCAGCATCCATTACATGTAGGTTTGTTTATTTTATAAGTGTAGTGTGATATTTCGGCAAAATATATACAATGTACATGTATTTTAAATCAATTTTGAAATGTATATTTTTTTTTAAACCAAGTTTGTGTTATGTCTTCCTTGTGGAAGTTGCTTCAGTACAAAATGAATTGCAGCAAAGAGTGCGAATTGATTGTCTTTCCTGGTGTGATTAATTTATCATAAACTTAACAATTCAATATTTTCCGGTTATGATTACATGTATATACATATGATCAAAAGTAGAAGGTATTTTTGTTTTTTCTATTTGTCAGAGTTTAAGATCATTTTACCTCATATATACATGTATTATCACCCACTAGGTAATATAATAATCGATTTTTTTCATTCGCCAAGAGTTTTTGAGGTGTTAAAGTCATTTTATTGAAATAGGGATACATATAGTTAAAGTTATTTTTTCAATATTGTACTCATTGATCAACCAAAAATAAAACATATGGAAATAAAGACCTCGTTAATATCGGAGGTGGGATCAAGTGTCAAGCAGGAGTGAACCGATAGGTCATCTCCGTCGTGTGCTCCTTGTCATGATCGGGAAACAACGGGAAAATCCATTGTTAATTCAAAGTATTAATATTGGACTAAAAATTAGTATAGAAAATGTCCAACAGTATTTTAGTGAATAATAAATTTTATCTGCTGGCAGGTATCGGCATTGCATCGACTAGTGATGTTTTTGAAGGTCCGTATTTGCACTGCTTCTTAAATGAACTTTAAGCTTTTTATTTCAATAAAAAAAAAACAAATATTGACAAATCACACTCAGTAAAGGTTTACAGGTGAAAACATAAATCAGAAGTATAAATCACCTTATATTATATGGGCTGATTTTTACCATTTTGCTTTTCCTTATAAAATTCACCTGGCTTGGTATATTTCTCTAAAGTTTATATTACACTTTAAGCACCAAGTTAACATATTCTGAAATTTATTCTCATCTGTAAACCTTTACTGAGTGTGTTTTATCTATTTTTATAATTTTATTGAAATATTACTAATATTTTCCAAGTCTTTTTCATTTTCCAATTCTTAGGAGAAAAAATTCTAAGAATTTTCCACTTTTCTAAACTTGTGACATGATATTAAGTCTCCTCCAAAGATAAAATTTGTTTGTATCATCTGTCCTTAATTTCTTTTCTTTTGCAAGGTTACGGTGAAGCCAAACTTTTAAATGATGTAGACGTTTCTTAGTCCAGTTTTGGACATTAGTACACCATAGCTGGTTCGATATCTGCCCACAAGAAAAATTGAGTCAGCAATGTTGGACCAACAGCAAGTCAACATGACTTCCTCAAGAATTTGGCCTAAAGCAATTAAGCAATTATGCCAGGAGCCTACAAAAGATCACTATTAGGGGACATCATTTGCTTATCCTTTAGAGGCACAAATACATTTAAATTAATCGTGCGATTTATTTGCATCTCATTATTATACATGCAATAATTGATATTTTCTAGGGCTGCCACTATTCGAATGTATTTGAAATTGATCGTCTTTATTAATGAGCGGGGATGTGGTATATGTAATGTAGATGTAGATGTCAGGCAGACAATAGATATGAAACTACCCACAACATGTTTAACAATACATAGATATTTAAAATCCTCTTAAGACTTTTCCAATTACTTTAATTTGTAAGATTCTGTTGTTCTTGTGATTGTTTCATGCGTCTTGGTTGTTTCATGCGTCTTGGTTGTTTCATGTGATATCATCATAGAGAGATTCATGTTGTTAGGCGAGGTTGTGTCTTCTTTTTCTAAGAAAAATGAAAACAGATTTCATCCCTTATCTTAAGGAATTTCCATACTCGCATGACATCACAATATTGTAATAAAATTTTGCGGCCGTATTGACTCTTTTTTTAGTGATCGTTCTTCATTTCCGGTTTTAATATGGAGCGAAACAAAAAAGGGGGGGTTGTAAAAAAAGGCCATAAACATCAAGTAATCGCCTTGGATAAAGGCAGAAAAACCCGGTTTCCTACGGATCAATCAAATTCTGTCCCTATTACGTCCTTACATATAAGTGACCACGATTATAATGTTAAAAGGTTAGAAAGTGTGGATGAACACGTGCATCATGTTGCTAGACAGGAGGATGTGACAGATGATTCAGACGATAGAGAATGGAGTATTGGTAGAAGAGTGGTATAACTTGGGACCCTGGCTGATGGACTTAAAGCTTGTAATCTATGCAGCCAGCCGTTACATCTCTCAAACTGCGTGGGGGAAAAAATTTGGTTTAGCTCAAATTTTACAAGTTAAATGTCATTATCCGGATTGTGGTTTAATAAATGACATACCAACTGGCTGAAAACATCCTACAGTAAATGGTTGCCAAGCCTGGGATGTTAATACAAAGTTAGCTGCAGGTATGTGAATATAATATATCCCTAACTTCTTATACAGTGGGAAAATGATGTAATATGTGAATGGCAATTTCTTCATTTACAGGCATGTTTGCCTATAAGATTTAAATGTTAATTTTTATTTTTTATATTTAGGAATGATAAATGGGGGTTTGGGGGAAACCCATATAAACAACATGCTTGCGGCATTGAACATCCCAAATATAATAGAAAAGAGTCTGAAAGATAGGGAACGGGAAGTGGGAGTTCACCTGGAGGAAATGGCTGAAGAATCTTGCAGGAAACAGCTTCATGAAGAAATAAGAGAGTTAGTTTATGGAATTTTTTTTCTAACTGATGAGACAATATTTTTAATTTAATGAATCCACAAAATCCTTTGAATAAACTGTTGAGTCATGATGTACAAAATGAAGTCGTACAAATTGTTTGACTTCATAGTACAGTGTATATTTATAAATATTTATGCAAAATTTGATTAATTTCTAAAAGGAGTGATGGTAACCTGACAGTGTCATTTGACGGGGCATGGCAGAAGCGTGGCACAGGTCATGCAAACAATAGTTTGACAGGTATGGTTCTACTTGCTTTATTCTGTTTTTCTTAAATATGATATAGAAATGAAAGAAGAACCTTTGCTACAGTTAATGTCATAAAATATTCAATACTTGTATTCAGACTTCTTAATTCTGTTTAGGTCACGCAACGTTGTTTGGAGAAAAGACCCAAAAATGTGTAAGTTATGCAGTAAAAGTGAAAAATTGTAGGATTTGTTCTGGTGCAAAAGCGAAAGGAGTCCCTCCACGTAAGCACAGATGCCAATGTAACTGGTCTGGCTCTGCCAAAGCTATGGAGCCGGCCATGGCCTGTGAAATGATCCAAGGAATAATCAATGAAGGATCAAGGGTACTACAGTATTTATCAGCTACTGCTTTTCTCTCCCCTTCTTTCTATTTCTAATTCAATTGAGGGCAAGCAAAATGAGTAAAACATTTACAGTTGCATCAAAACATTCTAAAATGATGTGAGTGTGAGTAAACATTTGAATGTTATGTCATAATTTCAATTGTATATGTAAATAAATAGTTTATGTAAACACAGACACAGAGATTAGGAAAAGGTGTAAGAAATATACACAGAACATATTTACAATCATTCATCCTTCGAAAAAGAATCATACTAATTGAATTCAATTAAATATCAAATTTTGATTTTTAAAAGAAGTAATTTTGACCCCATTTACAATTTCAAAAAAAAAAATAATAATCAAAGAATAGCAAGTCTCCTACATCTATTTTTTCCCATTATTTTACTTGTTACTTAGAAACAATAAAAAGAATTGAGAAGAATATATATGACCCTCTGATGTTAAATGGAAAATGTGACCCAATTCGGTTTTCTTTAGAGGAAACGATCAATTGTACATTAGAGCTTAAGTTCAATATAAACGTTGTTGTCAACGATGCAAGATATCCTTCTTGAACACAAAATACTGTTTTAAAGAAAATACATGTATCGTATTCGGAGTTTATCCTGCAAAATTTACAGTAATACAAATTTATTTCGTAAATATATTTTTTTTATCAAATTCAAATAATAAATAATTATTTTGAATTTTGTCACTTTTTTGTCTCGATAAAAATAAGTAATATCATAAACGTAATAAAAAAGATTCAGATTGGAATTTAATCTTAAAATTGTTGATATTTCAAGTAGGAAAAATCTGAGTGAAAGAACAAACTGTAATTTTTACATTTTGGCTTATTGTTGTTGCTATGCATTATAAAAATCAAATTCTTCTTAACTTAAATTAACTTGCTTTTTATTCGAACCTTATTTGACACAATGTAATTTCCTTGCTGAGACAATCGTAAGAGAACTTTATTTACTACAATAAGCAACGTTAAGCCAACACAAAATCAGTAAGTTGTTTAACAAATAATGGCTACAACAGGCCCTATAATAAACCAAGATATGCCTATTTATATAAGAAAGGCCATCTCGACTAAAACAGTTGATTTTGAGCAAATATGTTTCATTTAGATCTCTTTACTGCATTGATGTTTTGCAATGTTTGATGTTGTAAGGTAAAAAAGATACTGCTTTCATTACTCACCTGTCGTAACTTTCTTGTCATTAGAAACACATCCCCAGAGTGGATTGCAATCTTCCTTTGTACAATTGCAGGTTTCTTTGCATATTCTCCCTAACATTGGATATACACAAACTTAACATCAGATAGAATTTCAATTAACTTTGCATAATGCAATATACGTACTTGCATGTATGATTTCTTCAAAGGTCAAACTTTAATTAACGAGATATTTAACGAGAGCAGTTATTGTTGAATATATCTAGGTGTTTGTTTTCATCTTCGAGAATGATTTACAATAGAAATGTAAACGTTTGACCTTTCATAAAGTAATTTTTACTTTATCTGATATTACTTATACATGTAGCTATAATAATGTTGATGTATCATATCTATACATGTTTGTATAGGAATTTAACTCTTGGTTTCAATACGTTTTCAAAATATCATATTGTTTGCTTATATTCTTTATTTGATATATTTTTTTTCCATTCACGAAAAACAAATATTCACATGCACTGCAAGACTATTAGAAAAGTTAATTGATATGTATGGCACGCCAAATTCACAAAAATGAGCTAAACCTAGTTTCACAATTGATTTACTAGGTTTATCGACTGTAAACTATAGTTTACAAACCGTGAACTATAGATAACAATTCGTTAACTATAGTTTTCATATGTAAAACTATATTTAACGGTTGCAAACTATAGTTTACGAATGATAATCTAAATTTATCTGTCTGCAATAAAACGTTAAAAATAGATTTTGTTGATAAACATAGATCCACGTCTGTAAACTATAATTTACGATCGTTAACTATAGTTAAGAGTTGTAAACCATCGTTTACAAATCGTGAAACTGTATTTATCAGATAATCTATGTTTTGCGATCGCAAACGATTGTTCTCGGTGTTAAGTATAGTTTACGGTTGTGAAACATAGATCATCGCGTTAACTATGGTTTATAAATGTAAAATATAGATTACATGTAACGTCGTTAACTATAGTTTACAGTCGATAAACATAGTTTATATACTGTGAAACTATGATTAGCTCATTTTTGTTAATTTGGCGTGCTAAACTTAGTTTCACAATTGATAAACTAGGTTTATCGACTGTAAACTATAATTTAAAAATCGTGAACTATAGTTTACAATTCGTTAACTATAGTTTTTATCTGTAAAACTATATTTAACGGTTGTAAACTATAGTTTACGAATTATAGTCTAAGTTTATCTATCTGTAATAAAACGTTAACAATAGATTTTGATGATAAACATAGATTCATGTCTGTAAACTATAATTTACGTTCGTTAGCTATAGTTAAGAGCTGTAAACCATAGTTTACAAATCGTGAAACTGTAATTATCAGATAATCTATGTTTTGCAATCGCAAATGATTGTTTTTGATGTTAAGTATAGTTTACGGTTGTGAAACACAGATTATCGCGTTAACTATGGTTTACAGATGTAAAATTTAGATTAACGTTGTTAACTATAGTTTACAGTCCGTAAACTATAGTTTACAACCGATAAACCTAGTTTATCGATTGTGAAACTATGATTATCTCATTTTTGTGAATTTGGCTTGCCATAGATATGATAATCACAATACTTCGAAGAAGACTGCATGATGTAAAACTACATATAAATTTACCCTACTAAGAAAAAAGAATATCATATATCTTCCTTAATTCAAAATGCTTGCGCATTTAACAAATCCCCGAATACCTATGTTGAAAAGTGAGTCATTTCCAGTTGCATATCTTTGTTACCCTTTAAGAAACCACGCACTGAGGTACATTTATATTGCAAACATCAACAGCGACAGTGATTAAATTAAATAAGACTTACGCAAACAGTTCTGTTGTTCTTCGTTGTATTTAACTCCTCTGCAGGATATCAGAGGTCTATTGATTTTGATAATAAAGTCAATTTTAAATCAAATATTGAAATTTCTAGATTAAATATATTTTATTTAAATTCATATCATCATTTACTATAGTTATTTAAACAAAAAACTTTACGTTTTCTTCGTTCTGTTTTACCGTACATAATCAATTTAATTTCTATTTCTTGTTTTAGGAATGGAAGACGAGAAATCTCACAACAAGAAAATGATGCCCCTAAAACAGTTCAGTTTTTTTTTAACATTAATTCGAAAATTATAATCAACTTCTCTTGCTTTCCATTTTTTTTTTCATTTTTGTGTTCCTTTTGGAATGGAAGCGTTTTCAAACTTATATTTTAACAACATGAGTAAATGGGAAAATGATGATCGTCCAAAAATTTGAACATATCTTTTTTATATATATTCCCTACACATGTAAAAAGTAATTTATAGCAACTTACCCAGTGCATCGACCATTTTGTGCTGAGTCGGATTCAATACAAAGAGAAAATGTTATTTCAAACAGCTGCAGAGTGGACATGGTCGCTCTGCCACAAAAAAAAAACAAGGTATAGTGGTCACTGAGAAAGACAATAGGTGTCATGTGTACCCTTAGCCACTTGTCAATTATTAATGGCTTTGAGGTTCTTTCAAAATCGTGTTCAATGTTGTAACCGTTGAGGTTTCACGGGAGTTACTATATCAAAAGGATTATTTCGTAAGTTAAGGGTTGACTATTTACTTTCCGATGATACGATTTGGGAGGCTGATTTTCGCTTATTTTTGTTTGCTGCATTAGGGAATTTTGGGGTTTATGGGCAAGTTTTTCTACTGCGTTCTCCACCACAGCGTTGGCATATGTGGGAGAATCTACAATCTTTTCTATAGCAAATTCCTTGTTCGGAATAATTGAAGTTGTAAGATACGAAATTATTGTTCCCTGCCCTCCCATTGGTACATTGAAAGGGACGAAAAGTAGGTTTTTGTGTTACTCCCTTTAACTTTGACTGCAAACCGGATGCCAATGCCTGATTCCATATGAGTTTGGTTAAAGATATTTCTCTCCATTGACGAAACGTTTTGTCGTAATGAAAGGCTGCTGACGCAGTAGACTGGTCAGCAAGTTTTTGAACAATAGACGCATATTTCACCAATTTTGTGGCATCATTTGTATGCCTTTCGCAAAATATACTAACGAATATGTGAAAAACTTTCATCCACTGAGGAATGAATTCAATCTTAAGAGGGATGGATTTTTCCTTTACAAATGTTAAGCCATCGTCAGCTTCTTCGATGGAAAATTTTACTTGTTTTTCAGTTAGCTTTAGTAAAGTGCCAAAATCGACGAATTCGTTTGCCCATATTTTTGATTTCATTTTAGAATCAATGCCGGCTAGAGGCTTTGAAATACTTTCTGAGGCTTCAGGGAAAGTGTTTGCATTACCCAAATTAACCGTAGGCTCCACAGTGCTGACATTGGCCGCTTCCCCCTCTGAAGGACTTGGCGTTATAGCGGCATCAGTACCAGTCTGCCGTTTAGATATCTCATCCATTACCGCCTTTATAATACCAGGTATGGTTGCTTATATTGCGTTTTGGATTGTATCTACGATTTCCTGGTCCTTCGACGGTTCACTGCGTTTTGGTTGAGGCTCTTTTGGCTCCGCAGCTTTTGTCGCCCGACTCCTTATTCTCTTAGGTGGCATATTCCTACCTTGAATAAAATACAATACTTAAGTGATATCATAAAAATCATATGCTTGTTGTAAACTCAAACCAACTTCCCGTCAGGAATCTTCGCCTGATTACAGATCCGCTTGCCCTGGCACAATGAAGATTTACTAAGCGCTCGTGTAAACATGGCCTTTTAAAAAATGCTTGACAAGGAGATGATTGAGTCCAACATACATTTACATGTCTATACTCATCATGCTCATATTCATAGGTGAAAGTGCTCATACTCAATTGAATTCAT